TCCCACTCCTCCCCAAGGGGAGAGCAGGGACAGAATTCATTTCAGCTCAGCAGATCACAGCAGTTTCTTAAGAGTTAACTCTGCTATCCCCATCCATCAGGCAGCCAGTGAGGCATCAGGAAGGAATGATGGATGTAAAATTATTACAGGGCTGCCACCCGATATACTTACTGCCATTTGTAACTAACGCTGGAACTGACACACTTTTTTCATTATTAAACATCCACATTAAGTCAACATTGGTCACTGTCATTTCACGTTTGGCACTCTCTTAAGGGGAAGAGGGAGAGTTGGGGGTGGGATTGGGGAGGATGGTGGGAGGAGGGGTGAGTGGGAATGGGAGGAAAGACATCCTGAACCCAGTGTTCCGTAAGCATGAGTAATAAATAGGCTCCTGCTTACAATGCTGGAATAAATATTGTTACAAATAGCTCTTTAGTTACAGTCCAGCAGACAAGTACATGTCAGAGCCTTTTAAAAGGACACACTCCAAGCTGTAACAGGGAGAAGTTGTATCACAGGTTAAGAAACACTTAGCACAGGAGGTGTGGGTAATGGGATGTACTCAGCTCAGAGGGCAACTGCATCCCTACACATCTGAAATGCTTGTGTAGCTGTGTCCTTACACAACTGCCCGAGCTGCCAGCACCCTCAGCAGCAGGCGCCAGCATTCAGAAACCAGGACCTGTGTTTGTACCAGTGTATACACTGACACATGTTCAAGTACCTGCTTGTGTGCCCCCTTCCTCCTTTTGCAGCTGCCAGGGACATAAGCGAGTGCTTGAGAGTCTGACTGTAGTCGGAGAATTACTGGCTACTGCAGTGCATGTTTGTGTTGTGTATCTCTGAAGGAGTGCACTGTAGGCTTGGATGCATGCACACACATGCTGCTGGCTCTTTGTGTTTGTGTACATCTCCTTTGCAGAGAAATGGGCAGTTGTGGGGCTGAATAGATAGGCTGGAGATCACTTGCTGACGCTGCCTGTTGTGCTGTTTACATCAGGTGACAACCTGCACTCTAAGCTACATGTATAATCGGTAACATTGTTTATGTATAGGACATATCAAGCTATAATTAACTGTAGATGACAATTACAAATAAAACTATGCTCCCGGGTTTCCAAGAAACCAGAAAAACATATACACACACGTCTCATTTATACACCGAAATGTTTCCAAGAAAAGTAATGTAAAAATATGTTTTATTGCATTTGCAATTAAAATAGGTTTTAGTAAAATCCATGTTCATCATGATGCTCATAGTTTTTACTGTAATCCTCTGAATATCAAATCTGTCAAGATGGTCCAAGTTGGATGCCCATAAAGTGACTCACCCAAATCATCTTAGCCATTTAGAAAAATCTTCTCTTATTTATGACTCCTTTTATACAGTTTCTCTATAATTCCACAAAATTCCTGTCTGCCTACTGCCTTAGCTAGCATGTCTAGCTATCCATGGGGATCAACCCATCTGGGAACACGATCAAGATACCAGGTCATGTACATGCGAATGAAAAGACCCAAGAGCTTTAACAGAGACTTGCAGAGGTGACTTCCAGCCTCAAACCAGCCCAGTTACCCCTGGCAGAAAAATCCCTACCAATCCCTACCACATCCATGTTCAGAACTGCACAGAGCCCACCTCCACTGGTAGACTGCAGTAGCATGCAACAAAAAGCTCAAGAGGTCTCAGAGAAATCCAAAAATACACTAGCCACTGCCACAAAGAAGGGAGAAAAATTTGGGATCGCCCTAGATGGGTTTGTTGGCTTTGAAGACTGAGGTCACCCTACAGGAAGGAGAGTCTTTCTTCTGTATGTAACTACAGACTTAAATGTAAATTTCTTTATTGTGCCCATGAACACACAAATACATCTTTTAATTTCAAGTGTGATGTCCCAAAAAGTCAGGGGGCTGTCTCTAAGTCCCATGGTGGGACCTTGAGCTTCTAATAGGGAAACCTTCAGTGGTAACACCACAGTTCTATTTCTCACCAACCACCTTCCCAACTATCTCATTTTCTTCCTTTGAAAACAGGGAAAAATAAAATTTAATTCAAAATGAAGTCCTATATCAAACAGACACAAACTTCAGAGAAGTTGGTGTGTTTGTCTGGATCTGAACTTCGGAGCTGGCTAGTCAGCGGAGAGCCTAGAGCATAAATGGGAAAGGAGAACAAGTATCTCAACTTTCCAGCCTATGTCTTTTCTCTCTTGGGTCAAATGCAAGAGACAGATCAGAAGCCCTACAAGTTAAAAAGTGCAACTTCTTAGTGGCTTAGTGGCTTAAGTGGTCACCCCAGCAACTTAAATGCCATTATAGTCTAGCAGGGCTCAGACTTGGCCCTGTCCTTTCTCATCTTCGCTTTAAAAATAGAGAAAATGAAATAAAATGGAATAAAATAAATCACAGAATCAATTAGATTGAAAAAGACCGCTGAGATATCAAGTCCAAATCAGTGAGCTTCAATAAAGTTTTGGCATTAATTGTATCAAAACACACAAAGCCAGTTGCTTTAGAAAAATTTTCAGTTGAGCAAACAATTTTTTCTTCCTGCTACCTTCTAAAAGAACTCGTCTCTGCCCTCCACGAGCCCACCAGGAGGCATGAATTAGAGAGGAAAATAAACTTCAACTGGGGTTGAGGGTGAGAAGTGAAAACAGAAGGCTAAGGAGAATCCCAAGAATAGGAAAGTAACGGAATAAAGTGAATGCAGATGGTTCCACTCCTGTTACTTAATCAAAAGGCTGTGCAGAGTCACTAGAGCCAGCATAAAGTCATGTGTTAGAACAACAGCTGATCTGTATTAAAGAAGATTAACTCGCAATGCCATGGTGGAGGGCCTGGGATTATTTTATGTGCTTCCATTGCCGAACAAGCCGTCAGCACAATTACTGCCCTCCGATGTGAATGACTGATCTGTAACCACAGCTAAACAGCATGCTGCTTAGGGGCCTGGGTGCTTCATGAAGATGAATTTCCATACCATCAAAGTGCTTTTAATGGGCTTCCTGATCCAACCACAAGGCCTGCTTTGCAAGTATATAGAACTCAGGATGAAGGCTTCCTGTCCAAAAGGATTTGGTCGGTTGTCACTTGACAATTCCCAGCCAGCACAAGGGAGGAGAGGGGGGAGATAGGTAGAGTTGTCTCTGCTTTGGAGGATTAAAAAAAAAAAGAAAAAAAAGAAAAAAAAAAAAAAAAGGGTACAGATGCTTTCTGAATGCAACCAACTGCTGTATCCACAGCTGAATTCAATGCGCTTAACAAATAACGGCAATTTAGCTATGCTTGCGAGGAATAGCTTGAGTCACTTTGCATTAGCATCTGGCTGAGTGTTAAAGTCATTTCTACATGGGGAGCAGAGAAAAGGAATTTCTGCTCCGAGCATCCTTTCAAGAATGCTTAAATATTTGAATATAAATTCCTTTGTGCTTGTGATCACTTCTTCTTATATCTGACACTCTGCTTTTCCCTTTTCCCTTCTGGTACTCTTCTATGTGAAATGCCATAAACATGCTCCATCCTTCTCTTCTTTCCCTCTCCCCATAGCAGCACTCTTATTCTTCTAAGAAGATACCTATTACCCTGATCACTTTTTTCCTTCCCCTTCCTCCCAAGAAAGTGCATGAAATGGGAGTAATTTCTACCTGACTTACACTCAGGATAAGCTGATGAAAAAACTTCAGTGGTGAGAGACTCACATGTACGTTTAACATTCATTACCCAGGCTGCTGGCTCCTCACAGCTTATTGATCAAACTCCATCTAAAAACAGGGAAAATGGAAAGCTATCCAAATTAACAATCTGCTCATTCTGGACAATATTGTTTGACTCACAAGCTTCCTAGGATGACTGAATTTCAAGTTCCTGCTAAATAGCTGATCATTTTTATTCCATCTATTTTTCTGCCTACCTCAGTGAATCGCACAAGACCTCAGAGTGCAAAGCCAGTCCAAGTAGTTTCAATAAAATGCAGCCGAGACCAAATGTGACCATGGAGATCCTTGCTGAACTGCACAGCAAGGGATATACCCCCTCAGAAAATAACGAAGGACAAGAGAGGAACTGAGGAAAGAGTCCCGCCAAGGATACGATGCTGAGATGCAAGCAAGCATTTGGATGTATATCTTAGGTGGCAGAATTATAAGGACAGTTCACTATAAATGTGGCAGCAAGGACTGGCAGGTCTATTCATCCTCCGTAAGCCAGGGCAGTGCACGGAAAGACATCAGGTATTTCCAGAGAAAAGCAGCAAATCACAACCTCACTGACATACACGACAGTTACAGCACATAGAAATTTTTCAGGAGAATATTCACTTTGTTGGTATTTTGTCATAATGCAGCTTCACAGGCCAGTCCAAAAGCAGAAGGTGATGAGGTCCATACGTTCTGCTGCCTCTAAGTTTCACTGAAAATATTTGGTGCAGTTTGTGTTGTCAATTCTCTGCTTTTTCAATTTTGTTAAGTCATCTAACGTGACATGACAGTGCTACATTGCAGTGGTCACAAAATATCATATATGACAACCTCACAAGGCTAAATACCCAGAAGCTGAGCCTGAGTATCAGCAAAGCTTATGCTCCTAAAGAAGCTTGAATATTTCAAATCCAGCTCATCTCACAAACACATGTAAGCATTTCCATAAAGCAAGATTTCCACTTAGACCCAGAGATTTCCAAGATCACCTTCTCTTAATACACGCTGACAGGCTGGAACAGAGAATTAGTGGCCTCCAAAGTTCTTGTGAGGGCTTTAACTATCTCTGCCTCCTCCCCACTCTCCCCCAGGGGGTCTCCATGTCTCCCTCTCATGTCATCTTTTGGTTGTGGTTTTCATTCTGCTTTTCACTTCTACTTTTTGAACTATTCTGTTTTAAAATGGGGAAGGAAAAACAGCGAGAAAAAGGAGGAAAAGAAGGGAGGAAGAACCTAGGTATCTGTAGGGAGAGCCAAACGCAATCTCGGACCCTTTGCAAAGGGAGTTTCAGAAACTCACCTTTTCTGTCCTGCAGTTGTTGAGACCCAGGCTGTTCACAACGGCCACCTTCCCGTCCAGCACCTGCTGTTCCCTCCGAAGCTGCTCCTTCATCTGTCGGGCCTCCTGGATTGCCTTGGTAACAGCATCGTGGTCATTTAAATAACCTGACGACGTGATAGAAGAAAGGATATCTTAAAAAAAGAAAGTTACAAGAAAAAACACTTTTAGCTTTCATCGGTGAAATGCACATTTTATTGTTATTAACGAGAAAGAGTTAAAAGGTAAGGCCCAGAAACTCGGTCCATGCTTTGTAATTCTGTTGTTGTTATGACAGAGCCACCTGGATAGAAAGCATGAGAAACCTCAGTGCCAAAATCATCCTTCCTGCTATTTGATCCCATTAGTTTCAATATTTCCCTGACACTGCAGAGGTTAGCCCTGTGGTTTGTATGCAGCAGGATGTAACCGGATAGGAGTTAGGGGAAGCTTTGATCATGCCAGCAATCCCAAACTCTCAAAAATAGACCATTTCATTCTTCCCCTTCTTAAAACTTGTGAATACATTAAAATAAACCACAGGTGGCGGTGGTTTGCTATAGATATGAAAGGCATAATGGCTGGAAAGAGAAACCTCATCCACCGAATGCTCCCCACCACCACCTGTCATTCACAAATGTATAAGAAACCACAGCTACACAGACCTACATTCCCATTCCTATTCATGCTGCTAATAGTAGGTCAAATGTCCACTGTTTTGCTGCAAATTCACAGCCTAGGGCTTAGCCTTAGTAGTACTGAATTATTTCCTTTTAAAATGTTACAAGCATCACCGGCACAGCTAATACTATTTAATTTTAAATGTGACACTTTGTCATTTTTTTTTCCTTTAGCGTACTGTAGATTATACTTATTATGATCTGCATGTGATTTGTAGGATAGAATACTGATGGGAGACTCCAAGCCCCAGTCTATTTTTCAAACATTAAAGGAGAGGCTAATATCTATCAATCTCCCTCCCCCCTCCACATCCCCACACGTGTGCGCACGCACACACTTCTTTCTGTCTTTTAACTAGGGCATAAAAACGGCATAAAATGAATCTGTAATATGAAATTGCCCAGAAAAGGGACTTCTGTTTGTGACATGAGGCTAAATCTAACCAGATCCATTGGTGAATTGTGACAGATGGAGGGACTGTGAGACAGAAGGCAGGCACTAATCACACACAAAATGACCGGCTTGCCTCAACATGTTCCATGGATTCCAGCAAACTTTACACCCTAATCCATTTTTAGAACAAAAAACATCTGGGCCATAAATCCTCTAATCTGCCAAAACACGCTATTAAATCCCATGATTTGTTGAAAAACACTAAGATTAAAGAAAGGAAATATAAAATGGCTAACTGCCGTGTTAGGAAAGTGTTATTAATACTCTTTCTTTGTCTCAATTATGAATGTTCTGTTCCTAAAGAGCCTTGTCTAATCATGTCAGATTACACATCCTTGTTGTATTGCTAGACTCTTCTATCTGATCCAATGATTGCCAAAAAACGTAGGACATTGTCTTGCTGCTTAAAACATTTCAGGGGAAGAAGCCGATGTCAGATTAGTTCAGTGCTGTGCTGCTGTCAGGATTTTAGTTTGGTTTGGGCTCTTCTTGTTTTTTTTTAGACTGCAGACAGAATGGGACTGGTATTCCCATTTTCCTTGGAGTGCAAAAACTAGAAAGAAAAGTTTCTGTGCGGTTTGACTGCTGTTAATTGTACTAACAGTTAGCTTTTGGCTAAATCCCCAGGAACCCCTAGAGTTTTATATGAAATAACTTGATTCACACTGCTTTTATCAAATGACCCAGTTCAGTAATTCCCAGCCAATGGAATTCCAGTAATTCCAGCTTTCCCGGCATAAGGAAGAATATAGCCTTCACCAGCACAGTGCTACCAGCTGATTTTTCTTTTTTTCTTTTTTTTTAACCTCCATTTTATCAATTTGCTTGGTTTCTTCCCCAGTTTGCATATGTTACTGATCAACCTCGCATGTAGTCAGAATAAATTAAAAAGGAAGCAAACAAACAAACAGTAGCATTAGTGCTGGTTGTGCTCTTGATTAGAGTAGGTATAATACTTTCAATCTGTAATAAGAGCCGAATTTGCCTAGGAACTGGAATTCATGCCCTTCTCCAGACTATTTGGCTTTTCCTGAATACTGCTATCTTTGAGACAGTTTGGCACATGACAGTGAATAAAAGCAAGCACTCCTTATGTTTTTCAGTAGCTGCCAAGATGCTGGTGTGCAGGGAAATGATTAATATAGAAGCGACTTGAATGTAAATTATTGTTGTTTAGGGTAGGTGGTGAATTATTGACAGAGAGGGGAACTGCATTACATAAAATGCACTTAGTTACAAGGATTGCCAAACTAGCACAGAGATGTTGCAGATAATGGCAAAGAGCAGAGAGAAGTTGTTTCTGTTTTTAGAACACGGACATATGCCTGTTCCCAAAAAGAAATTCTTGGATTTAAAGTCATACATGAAGCCATGACATTTGTGACTGCTCAGTCTGTAGCACAATTTATATGCTATAAGGATAGCTCTGGAAAGGGGCTGTGTATCTGTGTGCCCGAGTGCAGCTATGCTGTTAATCACTGAGGCTCCAAGTTCACGTCCCTCAAAGACAACTGAACAATACCCGAGCGTTTCTCCACGCCATGGGAGCTGAGGAGCCTGAAAGAACTGCTTTCAGAGAACAGTTTTAATTTGAAGTTACTGGTGGTGAAAAGTGATGGCTCAACTGCATCCCAGCAAGGTGGGCTGTGCACACCTAGGACAGACAACGTGTGCCTTGTGCTCACAGCTCCAATCATTCAAATGGTGGAGGCAACTGTCTGGCAGATGACTGAGTGTTTCCCAGAGAATTTTTGTAGAGGGACTTATCGCTCAAGATAAAGAAAGTGATCCAGCTTCTTTACCATTTCAGGGACCTTAGTACCTTTGCTAAAAATGCTATCAAGTTTTTTTTTTGTGGTGTAGCTCCTGCTGGAAGGTGACTTGAAATTTCATGCTCACTTCAAGATCATCAAACGGTTTCATTACAGAAATGAGTTCAATTTGTTCAACTTTGGTTAGATCTGACCTAGCAGTTAGCAGGAGAAGACTGTAGGGTGTTCAAGAGCCTTTCCTCCTTCTAGTCCTACATTAAAGGATAAACCTTTGTTAGAAGTACATTATGTCCATCCAGCTCCTGCACCAGTTAAAGACAGCTTATCTTATATATACAGCATGCACAGGGATACTGCACAGCAACCTCAAAAAGTCACTTTCTATATTTGTAGCTGAGAGATATACAGCAGTGAACTCTATGTCATTAACAATAACTTAAGTATGTTATCTTTTGCTCCACAGTTTTCCATGGTTTATTAATGGTATAACACATTAATTCTTCTTACAAGAGTGACCTTTAAAGCTCTGTTCATCCTCACAGCTTTTATCCAATTACATTATCACTCATTACAGGTACAGCATTTCAAAATCTGCATCTTGTTAAAGGAAGTAAATTGCAGGGGTCTCAAACCTATGAAAAATATCAGGTGTGCAGGGAAAGAAGATTGGAGAGGAGAGAACAAGAGATGTCTTGCCACTGAGATGTGGGTCAGATGCTTAACTCCCCATCTAAATGTGATGTTCGCTCTACTTAAGGACAAAAAATTCAATGTGAAAAAATTGAAACCCAATGCATTGTGAACGGAGAGCAGCAGGGTCAAGCAAATTAAAGATGAAATGCATTACTACCTACCACAGTTAAAGAGTGCAGGGTTAATAAAAAGAGAGGTGCTAACAATTAGTAATGTCATATTTTAAAAATATTTCTGCAGTTGTAATGTGTCATACCAAATAATGTTTGCTGCATAGCACTGCTGTATCACAGAAACAGCTTCTGATAGCTTTGACCTATGGCTTCTTTTGGTTTTTTTTGTGCCACCCCTGAAAGTGGCCAGCAGGAGATGTTTTAGAAGGAACACAGAAAAGGGGCATGCATCTACCTCCTTTAATTTCCCAAACAGAGTTTGATTTACATACTGAAATCCTAATTCAGGTTATAGTGAATCACTGCATAGAATAAATTATTTAAGTTACACGCTTGAAGAATAGGAGGTGTACACATTTTTCTTGTACACACATAGAGCAATCCCTTTAACACATTAGACTTGTAAAATCACCACTAACATTGTTACTATTTAGATGGTCTTTAAGCAAAGATGTAATTTTGGCAGGAGTAAGAAATATCACTATTTTCTGGAACAATATTAAAAACAGCCAGTCAAGACTTTTTGAAAGATATAACATCCAATTTGGATTTTTTTTTTTTAAATGCACATGGTAATTGTTTTGCTTATTACACCAAGGTAAAATAATATTCCATGTAGGTTTTGAGCAGACTAAGGATTAAACCCGAAATTTTGGAAAGATGTAACTTTTAGGGATATTTTTCAAATTTTATCCGTTGCTTTTAGAGGACATAGTATAATATCACAGGTCTTTAATGCCCATCATTAGACAGGTCGCTGTCTTTATTGCATGCCATTAAACAAACAGCATTTATTAACTTTTATTGGTAAAGTAGTATCTGAAATAACACAGGTCTTTTGTTTTCTGAGTCTGTAAAATCTCAGATACCCCTCCTGAAAGGTCAGTATCCGTGAGTTTCTTCACTGACATCAAGCAAATGGAGTGTGATGGTCAACCTGTGACAGTTCCTAGGCCACTGCCTGGCACTGGCTGATAAAAGCCCGCTCCCCATTAACACCTATGAATCGTTATGAGGAGGGCACAAGAGGCTGAGCTTACCTATTGTGTTAGCTCTGGCCGAAGGACTAGCTAATGTTGCTGGCACAGAAGACTTTAGTGAACTGGCCCCACTATTTATTCTCAGAGTTGGCATATGAGGAGAGGTGGGTGATGTGGGAGACTTGCCATCAGATGTCTTGGGTTTGGCTGAAAGGTTCAGAGGCTGGGCCACTTCATCCTATGACAAGCAGAAAGAGAAAAGAATGTTATTACAAAACTGCTGTTGGCACAACACCGTCCAAGCAACGTCAGCTGTTTTCAGCTTATATGAACTTCTAAACCTGAAAGCTTTATGATATATATGAAGATCAAATGTGATATCATCTTGTCACTCCAGTTTGGAACTGAAATGACTGATAAACTGGAAAATTAGCATGACACGATCAGACAACATCGTCCATTTGCACTTTGGATGTGAGTTGTTTCGGAAGAAATTATTCCTATCAACAAGATATACGCTTCTATCATGAAAATTAAGAGCAATTTTCCAGTTATATTTCTGCTATTTTATTTTAAATGTTATATTCCTCAATGAAATAAGAACTGAAGAGTATCTTTACTTAAAATTCAACCACCACCATCCAAACTGGGCAAACGTGTTTAAGTGAATGGGGTTTCCGTTGGGTTATTTTGATGGTACTTTTTTTGTGTGTGTTTTGTTTGGCTGGTTGGTTTGGGCTTTTTTGTTTTGTTGTTTTTCAACTTGTACTTTCCCCTGAACTTCCCAGGCTTAGAATTCCAAGAACAAAAATATCATAGGAAATAAATACTCTTTCATCTTAACAAGAGAGCAGAAGAAACATGTCCTTTCTTTCCACAAAATCTGAAACAATACCCTAGATAATTCTGCATATAGCTTCTGCAAAGCTGAACTTCCAGATTTCAGTAATTATTATTATGTGAAAATAAAAAAATTGGGTGACATTTTTTACAGGGTAACTGGAATTATTCCTAAACCTGGCTTGATTACACAGAGTGACAGACAGTGCTATGAAACACATTAGAATTCTAAGTCATGTATTTTTGTTTGACCAACATAAAATACAGTAAGGGGAAAAAAAAACAGAGAAGGGAGAATAGGTTTTTCCACAAGGGGGTATTTTAGAAGTTATTTTAGCTGACTTTTAAATAGCCAGAACTAACGAATATTAGATCAAATCATCACATAATAGCTTCGCTCTTCTCTGACACTGTGACTTAGGAAAGTCATCCTTTAGCTACAAGATATGTTATATCAGACAACTGGGCTTCAGCTCTGGGCACTGAAGAAACTGATTCTGATCTCTCTAAAATGTAAGTACATTTAGTTTTATAGAATTATTCCTGACTTACAACAATGCAAAGCTGACTGGAATTAGACTCATAATGTTTGAGTGTTTTACTGCTACCACTAAGGTATCTCTGACTACTATCATATAACACTGATTCTTTTCCACAGAGGGTGGTGTGCTGCAGTAAAGAAGGGATTTTTTAGTTGCCTATCACTTGTGGAAGCATGATGCAGATGTACATCTACAAACACAAGACAATACTGCAAAGCACTGTCATATAACTTTTCCACTGCTTAAAGAAGCAAGCTCTAAGGAAAGCACCTTTGTTATATTTAATTATTTCTACATAGTTTTGGAATAGTCATAGCAGAGGAACATCTCAGAGGCATAATGGATAAAGCTGTCATCCCTAAAGTGGTGTCTAAGCCATCCTAGACACAACTCGTGCATAAAATTAAGTGGGAAAAAATTTAATGCATAAAATTGTCTTAGGAGCCTATATTCTGTATTCTCAGAAGTGAAGTAGGCACCTAGAAGGCAGACATCTGTTGATCTTTTAGGAGACCTAAGCAGCAGGGTTAAAATGTTAGGAGTACAACCAGCAGCTGACATTTTAAGAAGGGATTCATTACTTTACAAAAATATAAATTCATTGTATTAAATAGGTAAAAATAAAATAAAATTAGAATAAAAAATACTACTGGACAAATGGATTGGGAACTTGCTCTGCTGTTCACCCAATTTCAATTAAAAAATAAACAAATCCCAAAGCAGTGAACTATAATGTTGTGAAATGAGAGAGTTGCATATAAGTTTTAAGTACGAATGAGCCGATGAGCCAACCAAACACAGCGACCCTGTGCCAGACAAGGATCCCTGAAGAGCAAAGTCATCTATTTGGAAGACAGCATCAGAAGCAAAGCCAACCTGCCCACAGACTTGTTTCGGTTCAATCCAAGAGGGTTTAGTTTCCATGTACATTTAATTCTTGACCTCCGTTTTAAGCCTCAAGAAAAGGGGCTAATTAGTGTCAGAAATGGTAGTAAAACCTGCAAAGTGCTCTCTAGCCACTGAAAATCCGACCAAAAGCAGCACCAATTCATAGGGAGCAGCAACCAGTTCCTGATGGGAATGGGTACCACTCACTGCAAAGGCAGCTTGGATTCCAAACTGCATCCTCATGCTGAAAGGTTTTTTTTCAGTCTCATCCTTTTGCCTCAATCCCTCAGCTATCCTATTCCTATAAACTTTCTTTCCTTGCCTCCTCTTGCTCCTCCTTCTGTTCCCTTTTTTTTTAATCCTGGTGTGAAAGCAAAGTCTTGTGCAAGTCCACTACAGAAGAGTGGTTTTGGTCTCATTTAATGCCAGTTAGAAACGGGGGAGGTGCTTTTTTTTTCCATTGTAGGCATCCAGCAATGAGGCTGTCTGTGCTGTAACTATTCTTGGTAGTAAGAATGCTCTTCTTCATTCAAGTCAGCACAGCCATCTCTGGAGCCAAGAAATACAAGGCCTTGTGGAAATAATAGAAGTCGACAGTTCCAGAGCTGATAAATGTCATTCCAAATTGCCCCTTCATTCACTTTCATTGTGTGTTCAGGCTAATGGTAAATTAATCGGAGGTCACAGAAGCTTGGTTCTCATAAAGGAGGATAAGTAAACAATTTTCAGCTATTTTATGTATTTACCAAAATGATATTACTTCAGTGTTTGGTCTTCATAACATTTTTACTTCTGTTATTTCAGAGAGCATTCTCAAATCCTTGCTGGAAGTCAAATGCATTAAAAATTCAGTCAGACAGTTTAGAAATCCTATGTTACATCATGAGTTGGTAATAATTTAAGTAATTTCCTTTATCACAGTGGAACTACACTGATTTATTCCAAAGGACTCTAAAAAACACCTGGAAGACAGGTAATAACATACAATTGTGTTAAGCTTGAAGATGACTGTTAGCATGTTCACTCCCATAGCTGATGAAACATTTTACCCTTTTGCCTTTCTGCAGCCATAAATTCAAAGTCCTCTGCTCTTGCAGTTTAAATCAAGAACTGTACTGTTTTCATTATGGACCTGAGCCTGCATAACCACAAAAAGAATTAGGTGTTCATCTACCTTTAATTTTTACCTATAAAACCTCCCATTTAACATTTTGCCACATTACAGATTAGCAAGCTTCACTTTCGTTTCTATCAAGGCTGTGTGTAAGTGCAGCATGACAGCTAGGGCAAGTAGGAGAAACAAAACAAAAATAAATGTAGTATCTTCAGAGAGAAGGTATCTTTCAACAGCCAGGAGATTTGATTTTATGCAGTGGATCACAGAATCTAGAACTACTCCATGCACTTAGTTTTTATTAGAGAAAGTATTGATTGGTCCCTGACTTTTTCTAACATGCAGTTATTCTAAGGTGCTGTTGACAAGGGATTTTTTCTCCCAAGCCAGTATTTTTTAAAGAGTTAAAGTCAAACATTCATTTATACATCAGCCAAACTGATGAACCCTTAGACCAAAGAATTTAAAGACCCAAAAGGCTTGTAATAATATCAACACACGTGATGAAAGTAAAATATGATTTTGATTAAAGGTTTTGAAATGTCTTTTCAAAAGTAGCACATTTGTCTAATGAAACACACACACACACACACAAAATAAATGTAGAGAATAAAGCATAAGCAAAAACACATGAAGAAGGGCTAATAAAATGAAGTACCAATAGCAAGAGCAAAGCATTGGTAAAGAGATTCCCATCCCCTGTATCACAGCAGTGTCAGAACAGTCACTATTTTAGGAAGAGCTGGTTGACTTCTCAGGACTGGGAAGCAAACTTCCCAGGACTGGAAGACTGTCATTAATCAAAACTTGAGTTTGGGGAACTTTAAATCCTTGATCTGCTCTAGATTTTTTTCCCAGACAATCTCTAGGTATACGAGGGAAGAAAGAGCAACCCTTCACCTACACCAGAATTTGGGGGGTTAATATAATATTCAAGAGCTGTGTTTTGTAGCTTCACTCATCCTGAATTAGTATAGCTTTGAGCTGTCATGTTTAAGCGTTAGACACAGGAAATCTCCAATTGTAAATGCCTGACAAGCAACATGTAAACAGAAACACTGCTGGCAAGTTGAGTGTGCATCACACTGTTTTTTTAAGGTTTGTATGGTCCTTTGAAAGGTAAAATGCTAGGTTAACACAAAGTGCTTATTAACATGGGAGGAAAAAAATTAAAGAGAGGGAAAAGGAAAGGATTTGGCCACAGTCCTACAGTAACTTAGCGGCAGAGCCTCAGACAGACCCAGGAATTCTGACTCGCAGTCACCACTCTTGAAATAGTTGGCTGAAATGGTGTCTCTTCTAATCTTTCAATCATTCTGTCTCTGTTTACTTCCTCCTAAGATAAAAGGTTAATTTATCTCTATGAAGATAGATATGGGAAAAAAAGAGAATAAAATCAGATTTTGAGAAACTCTCCAAACCATTTATTAAGAATGGCACTATTTCAACACCAAGAGCTAAATAAATGACTGATAGCCCAGATGAATAAACCAGTCTCAGAGAATGAAAAAAAAAAAAAAAAAGGAGGAAGGATGGGGAAGAAACCAGACAATTCATCAGGATTTGATAATCTCACTCCTTTCCACATATTTTAAAGATTAGTGGACTATTAAAATACAGTTACTGAATTATTGTGCTGTATCCCACTGTGGCGCACACTGAAGGTCCAGGTTGCACGGTTTATTACAAAATCATGAACTACCCAGTGTATCATCTTACTGGCAATACAAACGTGCTTAAATGACCTGGCATAAGCACAGCCCAGCCTGCTCTACTAAAGAGGCTTTTCATGACCTCTGGGAACAGATTCACCACGTCTTGCTGCCCATTTAAATGACCTTGACAGTACAAATT